CCCAAACTCTACAGATTCACACAAATTAAGCCTAACAAAGTCTACAAACACGCAACTCCAAAGATCCCCAGCAGCAAAAGGTTCACCACCGCTATATATTGCATGCGTCCCTCCACCGTTATTCTGATCTAATCACGATTCAGCATTTCCTCTAAATTCCCCAAATAGATTAACTATAATATGCGTGCAAATGCAGCATATCTAACTACATAACCAGAGAACAAGAAGTGAAGGAACCAAAACTCCTCCATATATATAAGAACAAGATACAAGCACACTGCCTCACTTGATGTGAACTGTGTCATCCCCAATTGACTACTTCTGGACAATCCAAGTGAAAATTAGACGCTCTAAAGTTAGAAGTATTAACTTGTTGCAGAAGAAAAGTTCATAATTATATAGTCTTTCTACGTTAAGGATGCCCTTAACTCTAAGACTATCTCATATGCAGGGCTTAAACTAATTAAACACTGCCTTGAATCTTAGAACTACAGCCACTCTTGTCATCACTGAACTTATCATAGAGCATGACACCACCATACTCATCACTGAACTATACCCAGTTTCTTTGGATGATTGGATTAGGTGGCATGCATTATGGCAATAGAGTATCACCAAAACACACAAATTTTGAGACAATTGTTTTGTAGAATGACCACGGATTGAAGCGCAGACATTACTAGTTCTGTCCCATGCCATGTACTCGATCGTTCCCATGATCCTACTAGCATTTCCATTAATTCTTAATATGCAACCAGATGGATAGTTGATGGTAGGTTGATTATCCTTGCTATACAATTATACCTTCTTTTTCTTCAAGTAAAAGTCGTGAATCAATCAAAATTCTAATCTCTATGCTAGTACTGTCAATGTTTTTTCTTCCACAATTCCATTCCCTTGTGTCCTTTGATTGTGCCTTGGAGCGAATTCTTTTCCATTGTGATGGGTACACAGACTCGGAAGAGGCCTATCCACAAATGGGAATATTAGCAGATGGGGAGGGGGATGAGTTTCCTCTGAAGTCCAATGAACACAAAAACATCATGCAGCCTAATTACACCACTAAAAAAATCTTCTAACAAAATAGCCACACAGGCCTTGGTGCAGCCCATTGTTTGCAAGGCCAGAAATAGCATATGTTGTCGCAAAAAATTAGGAGGTCAACAAAGAAATTTCGCTTCTCCTGATGGATATTTTTAACGAGATTGAGACTTGACTAAAAAAAACTTCGCTTCTGTCGTTGATGGAAATTGGAAGATGCGATTTTTCTATCAAACTTGAACACCGAACTCCAGAGCCTTAAGGAAACAAGACATCGATCAGCCACTTCAACTCGCAGAAGTTTTCTTTATATCATGCCTTTAGCTCCTCTATAGTTCATTAAAACTTTCTCTGCAGCACCGATCTCCATATTTCTTTAAGCATCAGTAACAAGCATTACACTCTTTCCTAGTGACTCAAGTAATCCACGGAGACAGTTAACGAGTTAAACCAAGGAAATAATCAAACATGCCAAATTAAATACCAGTTTGGGTTAAAATTGCACCGAACAATCTGATGTTTAGATGAAGGTTTATAATTTGTGTAATAATTACAGGTTACAGAGTCCGCAGATAAATAAAATTGATCACAAAATTACGAATGTGAACCTGAAAAAAAAAATGCCAAGAAAACTATGTAACTACTACATCTAATTGTCAGACTGATTGTAAAATAACGAATACAAACAATCCTCAATCCGAGAAAACCAAAGCAAATGCGCGCTAATCCTTATTGTCAACACTGTTGCCACACTTATATTCCACGTCTCTCCATGCGCGTTCTTTCATTCCACTCTCTCAGTTTATTCAGCATTGTGTCAATTAAAAACCGATACACTGTCAAGTTTTCTGCGTAGGCAAACCTTTTGAAGATAGCCCACCAATGAACCTTAGAACATTTTTCGACGAGCTCTAAACCCGTCTCCAGTTGTGCTCTGAGATTCTCTAATTCCTCATTTGAGAGTTGCAGGTCACGTACTGATTCTTCCGCGAATGCTTTGAACGGTTTGCACGATTTGAACTTGTGTACTATGTTTTCGAGATCTCTGAAGGTGTGCTTAAACATCCTAGTCTCGCCTCTAGCCTTCTGATAGGATGAAAAGCACACCACAAAGTAGCACACAAATGTCCTATTGATTTTCCTTATTAACACTAAGATTTGTCAATTGTAGCCCTGGAAAATAAGGGTCTTTCCCACAAAAGATTGTTTTATCCAACTACTTAAAATGTCACAAAAACTGGGTTGCTGTCCTACTGACCAGCCACCGAAAAATAATTATTATACCGACTTACACTTATCTAAAGTCTACGAAATTTTATATGCAGACACTAGACACACGGAGGTAAACTCACACAAATATTTGGGATTTTTGGAGCGGATTTTCTATTTAAATTAAATTGAACAAAAACAGGACAGAAACAGATTTTAAGTAGTTCACAAATTAAGAAAAACGAGTTAAGAGAATTGCTATCCACCACCAAATAATCATGCAAACATGTTATGTTTCATTCAAATTCCTTTTATTTCCGGATCAAGATGCTCAAGTTGGCTCAATGTTAGAACTCAACCTATTACTCTTTCTTATGTAGTATGTTAAGAGAATGACGTTTTCAACTTAACTTAGTCCCTAGCATGCAATTTAGAATGGCGCGTTCATAGATTTGACAAATAGAAATCATTAAGAACGAAAGGAGTTTGAGTCATCACAAGGCATCGTAAGTACTAGCGTTGTGTTACTTATCCTAGAAATTGGTTCACATGTTAATCGCAATTAACAAGTACTGCTCTAGAACATACATAGGTCCTCATTCGACAAGTGCAAGCACACACATATTCATAGCATTAGAATCCTAGATATGCTTACTAAGTATGCATCTGTAGAAAACACATAAAGAATTATCATTGAGATAAGTAGTGAACCAATTTTCATCCATTCATAAAATTAATTCAAACGAAATGTCATAACAAATTTGCAATCATATTCGGGGTTTCAAAACAACCCCTAACTACTAAAAATTAGTTACACATAATCCTTAAATAAAAACAAAGGAAAGACATGAGTTTGAGAAGATAAAACCGAAAGAAAAGAATGCCAAGATTTTCTTCTCCCTCCCTTCCTTTCCCAACATTGCTGCCTTGCCTTTTTCCCTTCCTTTCCGCTGCACCTCCAGCCTTTTTTTTTTATTTTTCTTTTTCTTTTTCAAAATTATTTCTGTAAAAAAACAACTGCCATTTATTTCCTCCCCCAACGCTGCTTTTAAACCAATTCTTGCTGCATCATTTTCTTCTCCATAAATCCCCCACTAATAGCAATTTAGTGATGACAATAAGTGAGAGAAAATAGTAAAACAATTGTAACTCTTTGGGTAGCCTTTATGCCAATTACTCCCACTTAATCGTCATCTTTAATTCATTTTCCTCTGATATTTGAATAGGTGTCAGTTAGCTTGTTCTTGGCTGCTAGATTTATTGGGTTTATTGCTTTCATTGCAGTTACAAACTGCACAAACTCCAGTGAACATTTCAGTGTTAAAACGGCCATAACTTCTTCCAGAAAAATGATATTAACAATCCGTGAAATGCTCCAGAAAATAGACATTCGTAGCTTTCCAAGCATATAAGGCTCATTCTCTAATTCATTCTGAGCTGTTCGAAACTTGCTTCCAAAGTCAGTTGATCTGCACAGACAATTTTGACGAATTTGTTACTTAAATCCCACTTGTGCTATTTTTCTTTTCTTTGCTTGAAAAATCCTACAAAACACAAAAAAAAAAGTAAATAGCTAAAAAATATAAGGAACTAACTAAGAAAAAACAAGTGAATTTGATGTAAAATATATATAAATATGAGCTTATCCCCTTCGCTAGTTCAACAGCCACGTCGAACATGCAAAAGGACCAAACCGTTTTTTTAAGAGCATCCCCATTCCCTTCTTCAATTCGGTCCTCCTCAGCCGCCGCCATCGTCTCCGTTGTAGTTTGTGTATTACTCTTCTCTCTGAACGATTTGAACAATGGGTCTAAGTAGTACAATAATGAGTGAGCTTGTTATTTTATGTGAGCAGTGATCACTATTTATATGGAAACAACCCTTGTGATTTTCCCTAAAATAGGAAACTGCACACAATTCCAATCCCACCATAAGATCTTTTCATACCAATTTGAAACACTATTAATCCAAATTTATGTAGGAATTGGAAATCTATTAAAAAAACTTAGAGTACACAACTTTAACACAAGTGTTGGAGAGACAACACAAGTAAACAAATTACTTGTATTACACACACAAAATATTACAACACTCACAAGGATACAACTTTAGAAGCAATGACACTCACCACTTTCTAGAGACAAACTCTAGATCACTCACACTCCTCACAAGACTACTCTTACTTCTCACTCTCACTTGGTTGGTTGGTTGATTGGTTGCTTGATTGATACAAATGGTGTGGATGCCTTCTCCTTTTATAGGCATGGATGGAACCTTGGAGAAGCATGTAATCATCATGCTAGAGATATCTAGATAATTCTACTAACTACTAATCTTGCATGTTGGTGGAAACCTCACCATTCTTCTAAACTCTTCCACCAACTTGAACTTTGCTAGAATTCTCTAGCATGTATATGGATCTTTCTTTGTCCATGGGCTGGATCCATCTTGGGCCAAGGCAAGATCACACTTCAACACAAACACCAATTAGGCTGGTGTTGATCTTCAACACTCCCCCTTAACACCAGCTCATTCTTTCCTCCATGCTGAGTTGACGACAAAATTTTTCAAACTTGCCCGTACTCAAACCTTTAGTGAACAAGTCCGCAACCTGTTCATCTGTATTGATTTGTCTCATCTTAATCTCTTCTTGCAAGACCTTCTCTCTAATGAAATGATAGTGTACCTCCACATATTTAGTTCTTGCATGAAAGACTGGATTTTCCGCCAAGTGAATTGCCGATTGGTTATCATAGTACAATGGTACTGGATAGTACTAGTTGATGTAGATCACCCATCAACTGTACCAGCCATGCATTCTCTTGAGCTGTCATTGCTGCTACTCTATATTCTGCTTCTGTGGTTGACAAAGACATCGTTGGTTGTCTCTTGCTGCACCACGAAACTACTCCAGAACCAATTCTGAAGACGTACCCAGTGGTCGATCTTCTGGTGTCATGATCTCCTGCAAAGTCTGCATCATAATAACCAACTAACTTGCAGTCTTCACCTTTCTTGTACAAAAGATCATAGTCAATTGTACTCTTCACATATCTCAGTATTCGTCGAACTGCTTCCAAGTGAGGCTTCTTTGGATTTTGCATGTACCGACTCATCACACCAATTGCATAAGAAATGTCAGGTCGAGTCAGGGTTAAGTAGATCAGACTACCTACCAATTGTCGATACATCGTCGCATCTTCCAAATCTTTTCCTTCATGTGCACACATTTTTGCATTTGGCTCCATCAGCATCGAAATCAGCTTACATTCGAGCATTCCGAACCTCTTCAACAAATCTTTAGCATACTTCTGTTGACAGAGAAATATTCCTTCTTGTGTGCGATCAACCTCTAAACCAAGGAAGTGCTTGAGTTGACCAAGTTCCTTCATCTAGAAACGGACTAATAAATTCTCCTTCGTCCGAAGAATTTCTGCTTCATCATCACCGGTTATGATTAAGTCATCCACATACACTAGCACGATAGCTAGCTTTCCTTCATTGGCTTTGACAAATAGGCTGGAATCTGCAGGTGTTACTGAATAACCACTTTGTGTGAGAAACTCTGCAATCTTACCGTACCACGCTCTTGGTGCTTGTTTCAAACCGTAGAGTGTTTTCCTTAACTTGCACACGTACTCAGGATGAGCTTTGCTTTTAAAGCCCATTGGATGCATCATGTAGATCTCCCGATCCAACTTTCCATGCAAGAAAGCATTCTTCACATCCATCTGGAATAGATTCCAATCTTTGTTAGCTGCAAAAGCAAGTAGGACTCGTACTGTTGTAAGTTTCGCCACTGGACTAAACGTTTCATCATAGTCTAGTCAGTACTGTTGAGAGAAACCACAAGCTACCAATCGTGCCTTGTACCTCTCAATTGACCCATCTGGACGACGCTTTATCTTGTAAACCCACTTGTAGGATATGGGTTTCACATCTCTTGGCTTTGGCACGAGATCCCAAGTCTGATTTTGCTGAAGTGCATCAATCTCTTCTTTCATAGTTGTCATCCACTTAGAACTCTGTGATGCTTCTTCGAACGTCTCAGGCTATGTTGCTTCTTCAATTATGGCTGCATTGGCGTATTTAGGATTTGGCCTTCATGTTCTTGTTGACTTTCAGAGTTGAGATTGTGGAGTTGATTCTTCCGTTTCACTAGGCCCACCTTCTTCGTTTGGTTGTTGATACACGCCAGTTTGCCAAGGATTCTGAGCCACTCTTTGTTCAACATCATCACCATTTGGATCTCCTGATTCATCTGAACTTGGTTGGAGTTGGATAGTATGCTCCCCCATCTTCTGTTGCAGCTTTTCTCTAAATTCTCTGGAGTCTAGTAGCACCTCCTTCTTTGAGGACCACCAAGAAGACACTTCATCAAACACCATATCTCATGAAGTGTAACATCTTCCACTTGCTGGATCGCAACATTTCCACCCCTTTCTTTGGTTGTCATATCCCACAAAGATACATCTAACAGCTTTCTTGTCAAACTTGCTCCGTAAATGATTAGGAACAAATACATAACATACACAGCCAAATACTCGAAAGTAGCTAACTGTAGGTTTCATGTTCCACAGTTTCTCAAAGGGCGAAACAAATCCTAACCTCGGTTGAGGAAGTTTGTTGATCACAAAGGTTGCAGTCCTCATTGCTTCAGCCTAAAACCTTCCCGGTACATTCTTTGCATGTAGCATACTTCGACAAACTTCTGCAAGATGCCGGTTTTTTCTCTCAGCTACACCATTTTGTTGCGGTGTGTTGGCACAAGTGTACTGATGACGTATTCGGCATTCCCTTAGGTATTGAGAGAACTCACTTGAGCTATATTCTCCTCCGTTATCTTTGCGCAGGCAACGGATCTTCTTTCTCACTTTTCCTTCGGCTGACTCTCTGAACTCTTTAAACTTTGAGAATGTGTCAGATTTATCTTTCATAAAGAATACCCTCACATACCTTGAGAAGTCATCAATGAATGTCACCATGTACCGCATACCACCAATTGACGGTTGCTTAACTGGTCTGAACACATCAGAGTGAATTAGCTCTAATGGTTCTTTTTCTTTAAACTTCGATTCCTCATATGGCAATTGGTATGCTTTACCATACTGGCATCCCGCACATACTATGTATGTTCTCACGTCAAGTTGAGGAAGCCCCTTAAGCATCGACTTTTTCACCATCACACTTAGCTTGGAATAGCTAACGTGACCTAACCGCATGTGCCATAGATCTGATGTCTCATTTTTCCTTATCCTATCTACATATGCAGATTCTGCTGACATTACGTAGACTGACTCCAATCGTCGCCCCTCAATTGTTGGTATTTCTGAGATTTTGAGGTCACGATACACCTTCACATCTCATGGACCGAACAAGACATAGTGGCCTGATGATATCAATTGGGCCACAGATAGCAAAAAAAATTTCATTCCTGGGATATGATAAACATCTTGAAGTGGCACCTGGTTAGAATTATATTGAGGCGTAACTATCGTCTTACCGATGTGAGCTATTGGTAACCTTGAGTTGTCGGCTGTCACCACCACACGACCTCTCTTGTATTCAGATAGGTTTTGCAACTTCTGTTTATCACTTGTCATATGATTTAAGCAGCCTGAATCTACGATCCAATCATTTTTGTAGTCAATCCGTTCTTGTGTTGTTACAGTGAGGGCTAATTCTTCTTCCTCCGTAGCGAATAATGCTTCAGCATCCCAATCATCTTCACTATTCTCCTTCGAACTGGAAGTAGCAGTATTACCTTCAATAGGCTTTTTTTTGGTCCAACAATCTTTCGCCATGTGGCCCATCTTCCCACAGTTGTAACACTCGCTATCAAACTTTCTACTATTACCGCAATTCTTCGAAGCTCCCCCTAGACGAGAGCCTCCATTTCCTTGGTGACTTTTCACCTTGTCTCCATCCTTTTTAGATCCACTACTAGTGTACCGCTTGAAAGTGCTTTTGCTTTTACTGGTGTAGAGCGCTTCCTCTTCACCCTTTAACAAGACTCCTCCCATTTGCTTGGCCATAGCTTCTTGACCTGCAAGCAAATTTTCAAACTCAACAAGCGATGGTTGTGTCGGCCATCCCTGTATAGCGGAAATGAACCCTCGATATTCGGGTTTCAAACCGTGGATAATTATTCTCTTCATCCTGGTTTCCCCAATAGGAGCTGTTGGATCTAACTCTGAAATTTCGCAGCATATCGACTTCACCTTGTGAAAGTACTGGCCAATCGTCATGTCGCATTGCGACATCGATAGCAACTCGTTCTAGAGAAGTTGCAGTCTTGTATCATTCTTCTTTGAAAATAGTGTAACAAAAGTGTCCCATGCTTCCTTTGGCGTTTTGGCATCCCGGATGTGCTCCAACATTTCTTCTTCAATTGTGGTCTTTAAACATCACTTTGCCTGCTTTAATTTTCCACTTTCGCAAGATGCCATTGGCATCTTCTGCCACCGGTTGTGTAACCTCACCACCACCGACAACCTCCCAAAGGTCCTGACCTTGTAGGTAAGATTCCATACATGTTGCCCACATATTGTAGTTTTTGTTGTTGAGCTTCTTGATTCCTCTAACTACTTGAAGGTCACCCATCGTGCCGGCAAGACTTCGACTATACCAATCAAGCTTGACTAACAAACTTGCAGGGTACCAAACTCCTCACGACTCAAGATAGCTCCACCAAGAACGATCCCTGACCGTCCCGCTCTGATGCCAATTGTTGAAAAAAAAAACTTAGAGTACACAACTCTAACACAAGTGTTGGAGAGACAACACAAGTAAACAAATTACTTGTATTATACACACCAAATATTACAACACTCACAAGGACACAACTTTAGAAGCAATGACACTCACTCACTTTCTATAGACAAACTCTAGATCACTCACACTCCTCACAAGACTACTCTTACTTCTCACTCTCACTTGGTTGGTTGGTTGATTGGTTGCTTGATTGATACAAATGGTGTGGATGCCTTCTTTTATCGGCATGGATGGAACCTTGGAGAAGCATGTAATCATCATGCTTGAGATATCTAGATAATTCTACTAACTACTAATCTTGTATGTTGGTTGAAACCTCACCATTCTTCTAGACTCTTCCATCAACTTGAACTTTGCTAGAATTCTCTAGCATGTGTATGGATCTTTCTTTGTCCATGGGCTGGATCCATCTTGGGCCAAGGCAAGATCACACTTCAACACAAACACCAATTGGGCTGGTGTTGATCTTCAACAGTGACTAGTTCTGAATTTTTATTACGTTGAATCCCTTGTTTCATTCGTATATATTTTCTTTAAGAACAAGTTAAAATTTTAGGAACTATTTGATAATTTTGATGTTATTGTTTTAGCAAATTCAAGAAGAAAAAGAGAGATGAAAGTAAAGGGAAGATGTCAAGTGAGTGTGGAAGGATAAACAAAGGAGAACGACGGAAAAAAAAAATGAAAACAACTTAAATTGTTTTCAACTATATGCGAGGCACAAAACCCGCTTAAAGTCAGACTACATTACACAAGCAAGTCAGCTTGACTTTCTGAAGTTATTATAAGGACAAAAATGATGAAGCTGGTCCTAAGACTGTCTCCAACTCAGGGGTAAAAAAATAAATCCCAAAACATTCATTTTTAATAAGATGTAGGCTGTGATTAATAACATGTTACATGATTAACATGTTTTATGCAACATCTTGGGTGGGCTGTGAGCCGTAATTAACTGATACTTCGTACCATAAATTGATAATAATTGAGGGGAAGAGATCGGCGTGCAGTTTAAGTATGTTTCGTGTGCATGAAGAAAGCCCTTGTAGGAACGAATTCTATAGAACTCAATTTTATAGATTGTGTGCAGTAGAAAAGATGTAAAACACAGGTGGAGTATTTACGGAACTCTTAATCCAAGCACCAATTTATAGAATGAATTGGTTTATCTAAACGGATTGACCAGACAACCAAAGGTCTTTCGATGCCTAAGTCCTTAAATGTTTGAGAGAAACTAAAAAGTATGTAGATAGTTCTAAGTTGAATTCGCGATTATCAGTTCCCTTAGATGACTTGAATATATATTTAAAGATGACTGGCGGAGCAGTTTCCCTACAAGTGAATGAAAGCACCAATACAAGATTTATTTTAAATTGAAGTTGTTTTACACTAGTTACATCCATCCACGTTTTCATCAAGAATGTATTCTTGGGATGATCTCGTAGTTCCTACGGCACAGGCCTTGGTGCAACCCAAAATTTGCAAGGCCGGCAATAGCATATGTCGTCGCAAAAAATTGGGAGGTAAACAAAGAAATTCTCTTGTAAATTCTTACAAAGACTTCTAATTGATTAGTGTCTAATTTGGATTTATCTTGTAAATTCCTTCTATTATTTCGCATTCTCCGTACACTTCAAAAGCGGAAATAAATATCAAATAATATGGAAAGAAACAGATCGGTTTGTGTTTCGTAGAAGTTAGTAAACAAGTAAAAAATGGGAAGGATAATTAAACATTAATGCTTGCTTCGATTTAGGGTTGTTACTAGTAAGCACTTCAATGACAATTCTCCATTCTCTTCGTGCAGTTGTAGTGTCCTTTGGATCTTCCACCACAATGGATGATCCCCGGCCCAATCTAATCTGTAGTCTCAAAAATAAATTAAAAACATACCGTTTAACTTGAATCTATTATCATATTCATGAGAGTTTAAACTCGGAACCCATAATGTAGAAAATATGATAGAAACTTATTACCCAATGGTTTTAAGAGCATAGAACATTTTGGTCATCGTCCTTTAAAATTGGTAGAAATAATCTGTAATTTTACAAATTATTACACTAGTTGTCCTTCCGTATATTAAATTATCAAGTTAACAATTATTCATTTACGGGAACTCGGTAACTTTATTCATTTGATTAACAATGTTAAGATTTTATTTGGTACTTATAAAAAAAGTTCTTATTTATTGGCCCTAGTACTTGTTAATTTATGCGGTACCGATATTACTTTCATGTATGTAAATGGAAAATAGGTCAACTACAAGTATTAAAAAAAAAACAAACGTTAATTTACATTTTTACAGCGAACAAGCAAAACAGATATAAAAAAATAACATCACACTACAAGTATTTCAAAAAAAACAAAAAAACACAAACGTTAATTTACATTCTTAGAACAAGCAAAACAGACATAAAAAAAGAACATCGCGTAAACTTCATTAATTAATTAGTAAAAGAAAAGCACACCCGGAAGAGATCATATATTGGTTTTTTATTTGATTGATAATTATATTTGCACATACAAAACTAACACACTTTTTAAGAATTGGCTACAATAATAGAGGAATCTAATATGGATTATAATGTGCATGAAGTAGTATATCAATTTTTTGTGTCTTACAATTACTCTCGGCCGGTATTCACATGTATAAAGACAAAGCGAAGTTTTTTTTGGTGTTGGAATTGCCCGAGAATTCGACTGCCATAATATTATTACTATGTGTAAGATTCCAAGGTAAGATTGTGATTAGGGTTTTACATATACATGCAATTTCTTACTTAATCCCTTAATCTAGTAAGTTTACAAAAGATTAAATACTCTATATATGCACTAAAAAGAATCAAACGTTTAATAACGAGACTTGTACAAAAGGTAACCCTAGTCAATGAAAGCTCTCATTTTCCTTCTTGAAAAAAAAAATGTAGAACTCGATAACAATTGTAACAAAATAACATAAGTAATGCATCACAACGCATGGTCTCACATCAAATAATGCCTCACAACCAATTTACGCATTTCCATCTCATCCAATTGCGTAATTACTTTAGCCTTCAATTTTTCTAATGAACTCTTGAACTGCTTCAGTTCATCCAACTTCTTCACATTCTCGATTGGCTGATCCCACCAAAATTTGCTCGCCTCGTCCTCCTCCGTCTCCTCTGTGTCTTTTTCAAGATCTAAGCCAAGATTTTCAAGATCTATGCTCGTTTTGGACACCATACAAGATTCTTTTGAATTGGACTCGATTATACTACTGCTGTCTGTATCATGATCTTCAGCCTCAGAACTAGCATGCATAGAGATGTATTGGTGGCCATGCAAGGCAGTGCTTACGCGTTCAAGGCGAGAGAGAACAGAATCCACCGATGGATGGCCAAAGACGTACAACCTGCCACACGGAGAGAAGACAATGACGGCCACCTCAGCGCCACACAGACCGCTGAGTTGACAAGCCTTCCTGAAAAGACCGCCCCTCCGCTTCGAAAACGAGACCAGCAGGGAATTTGGTTTCTCTATTTTCTTGATAACAAGTTTTCTTTGAACAGGTTTTTGATTTGGAAGAGCGGTATTAATAATGCCTGGCATATCTCTAGCAAAAATGGAGCGAGTTTATAGAGTTTACGATGGTAGGTTTGCGGTTGTAGAAGAGGACATAACGGAAGAGATTGGAGAGCCCTCTAGAGGGGGATATATACACACCGAGATTATGAACAGAAACTAAGAGTCGGTGAAACCATCTAATTGATTAGGCGGTTACCCCTTTCCCAAGGTTTCCTCATCCGTTTCTAAATCCAAATCTTTTCTACTTTTATTACGCGTTCTCCAGATTTTAAGACGTGAAAAGACAAATTAGTCAACACAATTTGATTGTTTGGGAAAAAAAAAATGATTTGATTAGGTTTGTGTCCTATAAGTTAGGGAACACGATTAACTATATAGTGTTATTATTTTATTTAACATATAACATATGTATTTATTTATTTTTTAAATACTTAAGAAGTGAGACACAAGAACTTTGCTGCCCACTCATATTTTAACGTGCAATAGTGACACTTCGTGGCGGAGTTTCCGATACCTACAAAAATTTCTTATTAACACGTCAAAATAATAAGGTTGTCATCGTTCTCATTCCGATCTTTTGGATTTTACTGGTAAGCACTTCAAAGATAATGACTTATTCAACTTCCTTTCTATCATGTTATGAGGTAGACTTTGAGAATGATGGTACATATAGTTCCGTTTATGACCACTAGTATTACGGTTTAGTGAATATTAATTTCTTTCAACTATAAGATGGAGGTCTTTGACTTCCATGAATTGCAAATTTAGTTCATATCTAAGGTTGTCTTATTGTGGTGAGTAGAGCCATAAATTTTTTATCGGGTGGGCCAATATGTTTATTTATTGAGTAAATTGTAGCAATAGTCCCTGAACTTTACTCAAATTGGAGCAATGGTCCCTCAACTAAAAATCCATTACCATTGGTCCCTCAACTTATCAAAATGTGTAGCTATAGTCTTTTTCATTAATTTCTTCAAAATTTTGTCAAAATATGTTATGTTGGAATAACCATTTATTTAATTAGGGTCCCTCAACTCATCAAAGTGTGTAATTATGGTCATTTTTGTCAACTACGTAAATTTTTTTGTCAAAACGAGTTATATTTGAAGGACCATAGCTACAATTTGGATAAAGTTAAGGGACAATTTCTCCAGTTGAATTAAAATTGAGGGACCAAAGGTAATGGATTTTTAGTTGAGGGACCATAGCTACACGTTTTAATGAGTTGAAGGACCAATGGTAATGGATTTTTAGTTGAAAGACCATTGCTCCAATTTGAGTAAAGTTCAGGGACCATAGCTACAATTTACTCTTATTTATTTTACTGCACAAGTTAACTTCTATAAGGAGACTCCAATCAATGACCAAACAAGGTATTATTGTTGTAAAATCAATGAGAAAAACAACTAGGAATCAATCTTTTGTTTCTCTTACCAAAACAACAAACTATTATACTTATGTTCTTCAAAATATATTTTTCCGTGCAAAATTATTATAATTCCTATTTAAACACTTGTAATCAACAATATAAAACCTAAATTTAAAGATATTTGAATTTAATAGTGGTTACTCAAATAAAATAACGTGTGAAGAAAATACTCAAAGGACAAAAAGGGCAAAAAAAAAAGAAAAAAATAAATAAATTGGAATAGGGAAAGATCGGTACCATGTTACCTATCCTCGTCCAATCGTACTTAAATCATCGTTTAATCTATTTATTTTCATATTCGCCTCACCGGGAAGTTTTGAAAATACACTACTACAAAAGGGCCTTATAATGTCAGTAGGTGATGTCAGTTTAATATTATATAGTGGCGGATAAGACATTTGCGACACCTACTAAACATAACATCGGATTTACTGTCGCTTGTAAGTGTCATAAACTGTCTATGTCGTTTTTAACCGATGTAAACATTTAATGTCGCTTATAACCGATATACTTTTTAATAATTTTTAAATATTGGTGTCACTTTAAATAAAACAATGTCGCTTTTAAGCGACATAACGTATGGGTGTCGCTTCTAGCCGACACTAATTATTGTTTTTAATATTTTAAAGCCTGCATCAGTTTTGAGCAACATAGATTTTAGTTTTTTTAAATATTTTGAAACCCAGTGTCGATTGTAGTCGACACTAATAATATTTTTAAATATTTTAAAACCCGGTGTCGTTTTGTTATCTACCAAATTCATATATACTTAAGTTAAAAAGTTTTTAAAAGGCAGGTCACTAAACTTTTTCAAAATTTCAAACATTTTGAAATTTGAAATTTTCACACCACTCCAGTAGACTCCCGCACAAAATTCTAAATATAAAGGAAGAGAACACAGCCCCTTCACCAAAGCAGCTCATTCTTTGCTCCTTCTTCGCAGCCACAACAGCAGCAGCAGCAATCGTCGTTTCAAATTCAACTGAGCCCAAACCGTGCTCCTGCCCGTCACGACGGAGGTCATCGATCCCGAGTTTCAGAATTTGCGCGGGGCTGCTGAGTTAAGGCAGAAGACTGTCATTGGGAGCGCCGAGGGAGTCGTGGAAAAGACGGAAACGGTCAAAAGATGATCACCCGGATGCATCAATCTCGTCCGTTCTACAGCAAATCGGATAGTCAAAAAACGATCACCCATGTGCTGACAGCAACAGAAGCTGCGATGGCAGCAGTGGCCTCGGATCCTCCACCTCGAGACGGTGGGCTGGTTGAGATGGGGGCGGATGTTGGAGAAGACGACGACCCAGGATCGTAGCAGCGGCCTGGAAAAAGGCGCAGTAGAATCGGCTAGAAAAAAAAATTTGAAAAAGTAGCAGAATTGCAGAGAAGGAAGAAGAAGAACTGAAGAGGAAGAAGCAGCAGCAGAACCACATAGGAAAAAGAAGAAGAAAGGTGTTGGGGGAGGATCTGGAGGATTCGGACAAAAGGAATTCGGAGATGATCCAATCCCTGGCAATTCATTGAAAACGAATCCAAAGACAGATTTTGAAATATTTTTATTATTATTAACAAAGGTGGTGTTGGTTAAGACTATCGCTAGTTTACATATTTTATTTATTTAATTGTTATCCGACGTCACTTTAAACCGACGTAATGTTGAAGTATATGTCGCTTTAAACCGACGTCAACATCAGTGTCGCTTTTAACCAACGCTGCTTAGTGGCGGATTAAACGAACAAACCGACACTGAAGCCCTTTAGTGACGCTAGCAATGGTGTTGCTATTCCAATCCAACATTACATTGTTTTATGTTGGATTTTTGCCAAATTTCGGACAGAAATCGGATTTCTTGTCGCTTTTTGGTCCGCCAGTGATAGCCTATATTGTAGTAGTGATAAGGTAAGACTTTCCGTTGAGTTTCTTGAGCCCATTTGACAATGTTTTGGGTTTCTACTATATGTTTCACTTACTTATTTAGTTTTCGACTTTGATGTGATACTAAATATACATTTATTGCTCAATAAATCGTAAATCCACTTCCAAATGCCTTATAAAGCTTTCCTTAATGCTCACAAAAAATATTTCGCGAAAATAACAAATTTGCATTTTTAACAAAAACACATGGGTTAGCAACTCACGATTTTTAGTCAGTTTTGCAAATTCGTACATAAATCATCGTTCAATCTATTTAGTTTCTCCTTCGCCTCACTGTGAAGTTTTGAAAATTAAGGTAAGACATTTCCTTGATATTCTTGAGGGTTGAACCCCATGTTAACATTGTTTTGGGCCTCTCAACTATATTTTTCATTTATTTTTTAAGTTTTTGTCTTAAATATTCTACTAAATAGACATTTATTGCTCGATAAATCGTAAAACTGATTCCAAATGCGTTATGAAGTTTTCCTTAATGCTCATAGATAACATTTAGTGAAAATTAAAAAATTGAATTTTTAACCTAAAAACGTGTGTTATGCGGGCTTGATGCACGCAAAACGAGGCAAACTCCGTGCACGCAGAACTATGCAAACTTAAGCGCAAGGAAAGCGAGGCGGGATCCGTTCACGGAAACATGGCAGGCTTCTGACATGCAAAACGAGGATGGCTCTACGCACGCAACACAAGACTGTATTTGCCGTGCAAACTAAGGCCCGCTCAAGGCACGAAAAAGAGGCATACAAAACGAGGCGGGCAAGTGCACGGAAAACAAGAATATAAATCTAAAGGTATTTGAATCTAAATAAAGTAATGTAGGAAGAGAAGAAAATTCAATAAAAAAAAACAGAAAAAAGTAAAAAATAAATAAATAAATAAAATAGAAAAAGATACGATCGGTACTTTGTTACCGATTGTACAATCTGTCGCTAGCAAGGTAGCAACTACTGAAATCGCTAGCTTCATACCGATCGACTTTTTTAATTTTTTTGCTAATGTTTCTTTTTTTTTTATCTTAGCATAACAACAAACTTTCATGTTCTTCAAAATATATTTCTGTGTAAAATTTATTATAATTCATATTTAAACTTGTGATAAACCATTTAAAACCTAAAATTTCAAGATATTTGAATTTAATAGTGGTTACTTAAATAAAGTAATGTGTGAAGAAAAAAACTCAAAGGAAAAAAAAAAGCAGAAAATAATAAATAAATTGGAATGGGGAAAGACATGTACCACTCTTCTGATCCTCGCCAAGTCATACTTTATTGTTATTGCTATTTATTTTCACATTCACCTCGCCGTGAAGTTTTGAAAATTAAAGTAAGACTTTCCGTTAAGTTTCTTGAGGGTAGAATCCCATTTGACAAATTTTGGGGGTCACAACTATATTTTCACGTATTTTTTAGTTTTTGGCTTAAATATTCTGCTAAATATATATTTGTTGCTTAATAAATCACTACTCCAAATGCCTTATAAAGTTTTCATTAATGCTCATGAAAAATATTTTGCGAAAATAAAATATTTGCAGTTTTGACAACAACAAAAAAGTGTGAGTTAACACTCACAGTTTTAGTCAGTTTTGCAAATTCATATATAAATTATCGTCCAATCTGTTTATTTTCACCTTCACCTCACCGTAAAGTTTTGGAAATTAAGGTAAGACATACCGTTGATATTCTTGAGGGTGGAACCCATTTTAACAATGTTTTGGGCCTCACAACTATATTTTTTTCATTTCGACAAAATAAAAAAATCCTTTTCACTTATTTTTTTCCTTCAATTTTCAGCTTAAATACTCTATTAAATATATATTTGTTGTGACATCTCGTCCCAACTTTTAAGTTTTATAAATTTTAAAGTAGTGATTTTACGAAAATGCCCTTAGAGGCAAGGATGTTTGACTTTCGCCTATGCATTCGTAGAGTGGGCCTGAAAATAAAGCTTTAATAAAGACCTTCTAAACGTTATAACCCCTCACTGTAATACCTGTATAGTTTCCAGAAAATCATATTACGTATAAGTATGAAATCAAATGTAAATCAACAGTAAATCCAGGAATATTCCAAATCACTACGTATCGGTAGCAACATAATAAAATCAGGTGCTCATCAATCTATGATAACACACGAATCGAAGTTGCCTAAATCAACCTGTACGACTCATAGGCAACATGTACGACAGTGTCGAAGTTGCCTAAAACACAAATATAATCATGTCATAACTCAATCATTTCAAATAACACCATACACTCACTTGAACTTACCTGCACTTCCCGCGTTCACCTTAGCACTTCAAAGCATTCACAACAATTATATGTAGGTAATATGCATAAGGATATGCCATGATGCAATCTAAAACTGAACCATATCATATATTTTAGAATATATAAATATATATATATATATATGACATGGCATAAAATGCATAAATCAATTTAAAAGTGTTTGTGGAACTATCAATTATATATATACAATAAAAAGGAAAAGACCCACTCACATAAGGTCCGCAATACGACTCCATAACACGAATATTGAGACTCACGAACAATCATCACCTAGAACAAATATTCAGTCACGTCTCAGAACTCTTATTAATAGAACACGTAACTTACATAAAACACATCCCAATGACGTTCTAGAATGGTTTGAGACCAATTGACCAAAAGTCAACCGTTGGTCAAAGATCAACGATAGGGTCCACAACCCTACGTAACTCAATCCGAAAGATCTACATCTCGGATTCTGATTCGTAACTTCTAAAGATCCATATTATACTTTTAGGACATCATACTAAAGTTTCATTATGATCCAACGGTTGGATCTCCGCCAATTGCCAATTCAAGTGGCGATCAACGTTTTATTTTACGAATTTACAAATCCAATTTGGGAAGATCTATGTCAGATTCCCAATCCGTAAGTTTCTAATATCCTCAAATATACATACTATAATGTATTAAATTTTGGTGACGATCCAACGGTCGAATTGTCAATTCACATAATGTTCAAGTAGCGGTCTTTAACAAAACTATGTTCAAACGATGAGATTTCATCAATCGGACTTCACCTATGCAATTGGGGTGTCAAACTTAGGTTAGGAAGGTCAGGGGGTGACTCAGGGGGTGACTCGACTCACGCGCCGCCGCACACGGCAGTCGGCCGCCCCGATTCGGCGAAAAATTCAGCTATCTCCAAAAATTCTCAAATTTTACAGAAATGAAGATTTCAAAAAGTAGAGTAAGTTTTATTCCTGTGACCAAGTCCAATTTGGCCGGGAAATGCTCCAATTTCACTCAAACCCACCTAAACCCTAAAATGGGTGAACTTCGAATCTCCTAACTCGGTGTTCCAATGTATCTACCACTGGTTGGGTCTTGTTCCTGGGTCCAAGGGAAGTTGATTAAGGGTAGTTTTAGATGGTGGAACTCGTCGGATTGGAGGAATCATTGTCGAGCACCTCCGGTGCTCCAGTGGAGTTCCTCACGGTTTTGGACATAAAAACCCTCAAATATGGGTGGAGATGGTAGATGGGAGGTTATGGAAGAGGTTGCAGGTGATGGATGGGTGAGAATCGCCTGAAAAATGGCGGAGGATCGCCGGAATCAAACCGGGTCATCGTCGAGTTTATGGTTTGACAGGAAAGGAGATGAAGTTCTTCTCTCTCCTTCTTGATTGGTCATTTCTTTTCTCCTTTTTTCTAATTGGTCCTTATTTCCATTTAAATTGATTGGTCCTTTATTCCCTTGTTAAAAGTTGATTGGCTTCCTTCCCACAAGATGGGAGCTCAAATTATTTAACTAACTTTAAATAATCAATTTCAAACGTCTGTAACTATACCGTTATAATCCGAACTCATAAACGGCTTTCGCTTACGCGTACGAAGCTTCAAAATCTATTCGGAAACATTAATTGTGACTTCAAACGATCAACGAAAGTCAAACATCCTTGCCTCTAAGGGCATTTTCGTAAAATCACTACTTTAAAATTTATAAAACTTAAAATTTGAGACGAGATGTCACATTTGTTGCTCAATAAATTATAAATCCACTTTCAAATGTCTTATAAAGTTTTCCTTAATGCCCATGAAAAATATTTCACGAAAATTAAAAAAAAAATTGCATTTTTAACAAAGTATATGGGTTAAACTTAACATAACGGTAAAGTTGATGGAGTATAAAAAAATGAATACTAGTGCAATAAATGATATCATTCGAGAACTGGAAAAACTATTAGAAAAGTTGAAAACTTAACCCCGTGAAATAGATTAGTACTATTGCTACAATTTGGTCAAAATATTTAATGGGAAATTTTATTTGAACCCATGTAATCTCTTTCTACACCCAACTTAAATTTAAATTGTTAATTGTTTATTTTACCCTATTGCATAATTACTATTAAGTACAAAATGAAATTAATAATAAAACTCAAATTTATCAATAAACCCATTAAACCCTACCATCACTTCTTGTTTATCTTACGTTCATTCTGGCTAAAACTCTAATAGGTCTTGTAGAGAAAAACAAATTTTTTTTTTATTGATGGATGGTGATTTTGAAGTTTTGAATCCTCTAACTAAGGTATGACTCAATTTATGAATATTTTGTTTGTTTGATTTCAATTTTTTTAAAGTTTAGAATATGAGTGTTTGGGTTTCAATTTTTTTATCAATCTCGAATGGTTTGTTAAACTTTCTGGAATTGGAAAATTCTAAGGAAAAACTTCTTACCAATGTTCTTAGATTATAAACTCTCTTGCTTGTTGATAAATATACGGGGATGAATTGTTTGATTTGTTACTTATCCACATCAGTAGAAAGAAAAAAGTCAAATGTCTAGATTTGGTAGCAGAAAGAGAAAAAAAAATAGCCATGGAAATGTTAGTGGGGAAAGGGCGGTGGGCAAGGACACCTCTTTAAAAAAAAAAAATCAATTACAAATGCTATTTTATAAAAGGCATGAGTGTAAAGATAACTTAACATTTTGATTGGGTTTGAGATGGTAGTTTAGGTAATAAATTTGGGTTTAAAGAGAGATTAATTCTTTAATAAAAAATAATATAGGTGAAAAAAGTAAGTTGGGTGTGGAAAAATATGTTACATAGGTTCAAATAAAATTTTTCATATTTTATTTAATTATTTTATTTTTTCCTATAAGCTTCGGCTTTAGCCTAAAAAAAAAACGGTGAAATGGGTCTGTTATTTAGGTTTGCAGCGGCAACTGAGCTTTGAAACTCTTCACACTTTGAGACTTTGCGGTGGCCGTCGCGGTTGAAACGAGGCTGAGGTCGGTGGTGGCGCACAAAGAACTCAAATTTTATATATCCCAACCTCCGATTCTCCCCCAAATGCCCATATCCACTAACAAATGTCTGTATTTTCCTCCATTTTTTGCAGGTAGGAAGCAATTCTCTGTTGCAGCCATGGCGGCTTGGCAGAGGCATCTGCAATCAGCTATCCGTCAAATTGGAAAAAGGGTTGAATGTAGTTACAACCCTCTAGCCAATTTCTCTTCTTCTTCCTCTTCTCGTTTAGAGGGTCAGTAGCTCTTCGAAATCTCCAATTTTCTCACTTGGTGTTTTGGAAATTGTTGAATAGTCAGAATCTTAATGTTACAGGTCTCTTGCCTTATTTCCAAACTCTTTGCAAACCATCTTCTCCAACCATTTCAAGGCCCCTTCATCAATATTTTCAGCAGTTGGTAATTCTCAAATTTATATATATGTATATATATCTATATATATTTGTGTTTTCATCTCTATCACTGTTGTGTTTTCCTCTTCATTGTCAATATTTGTGCTGAGTTTTGTTTTGACAGGGAATTTCGAGTTCAAAGAACTTGAGAGCAGAGGAAACACCTCTTCCATCTCCATTGACTCCTGTTTTGGCATCAAATACTGCAACGAATGAGGAGCACAAGCAGAAATCACTCACTAAACCTGCTAAAGTTCAAGCTATCTTAAAGGGAATAAAGCAGGTATTGAATTGCACTCTTATTGTGTCGTTTTAAGACTTTGTAATGGATTCTATGCTTTGTTCGGATTCAGATTTTTAAGCATCTCCGGCCATGAAGCACATTTTCTGAATTCTAATGTTCCTTTGCTATCCAATAGTCAAATTCAATATTAGGGTTTTGATCTGTGTGTTCTACCAAATTTACCTTAGATTGGACAACTAATGGCGGAGAGAGGGCCGGGGTTTGAACAATTCCTTTACACTAGTCATTTTGCTGATTATGTGGGTGTGTGTGATGCATTTAGGGAAAGACAGTACTGAAAACAGTAGTCTTGCAGAGCTTATTTGTGACAAGAGGAGGCTTGCAGTTGAAACGGACGTGTATTCCGGTTCCATTCATCTTGGATGCTAATTGTCCTAACAATTGGAATTGTATCTTGGATGAATGATCT